AACAGTATGAACTTATTTTTGGCTAAAACACACAAGACTATGCATGAATGTAGGTGGACCGTGAGTACTCACTGTACAGGCCAAAGTTTTTGGAGAAGGACTGAGCTACAAAAAGCTCAAAGCCCTCGGAGACAAAGAAGCGGATGGCCCAGGCATCTTTTTCCAGAGAGCCTGAGGCGAAGCCCTGGTAGGCGGAGTCAAAGAACACATACAGCTTCCTCCTCTGAAGAAGGAAAAGGCGAAATACATACATTAAAATTCAGTTTATTTCTTTTTTAATTACACATTAAAGCAATTTTAAAAAAGAAGAAGATATTCATGGTGAGTTAGACACCAACAAGGCCATCAGATGATGGTAAAATAATGTCTTTGTACCTTCATCACTTCTGCAATCTGCTTCCATTCCTCCTGGGTCGGGTCGGTGCCAGTGGGGTTGTGTGCGCAGGCATGGAGGACAAAGATGGAGTACTCTGGAGCTTTCTGCTCAGAGAAGACAAATAATGAGTAAAAATATTTAAAATAAATGAAAAAAAAAAATGCTCCCAAAGAGTCTTCTTGTTTTCATGTCACTGTCTGTTGGGTTCTTGTAACTAAACAGCAGTCATCATTACATCCTCACCTCCAAATCATCCAGGAACCCAGTGAGGTCCAGGCCCCTCTTGGCAGCATCCCAGTAGTGGTAGGGGCGGATATCTTTGAAGCCAGCATCAGCAAATACACCGTTGTGGTTCTCTGGAAGAGGAAACGTTCAGCAGGTGTTTACCACTTAAATCCGCTCTGATACCCACTGAGACGTTCACTTCATTATCGAAAAACAGTCAAACTTTCTCAACTACAATTTCCTGCATCCTAAAACTTTTCACTAACCCCAGGTGGGTGCTGAGACGTAGACGGGCGTGGCTGCGTTGTTGACGCCGTTGTACCACCGCCGCAGGAACTCTGCCCCAATCCTCAGCGCACCTGTCCCACCCAGAGCCTGGACTCCTCCAACCTGCGAGAGGAAGCGGGCAATGCAATCAGAGAAATATACGTATGATATTAACTACATGTTGCTTTTCACAGTTCGGCCAGAGAATTTTGTGATAAGGCTGCAGGTCATGCCTGCTTCTGAACACTGCTGATAATATGCACTAATTGAATACACCAAGACTTGTTGGTCTTTCAGACCTTGCCTTCACAGGTTTTCCTGCCCTTATTGTCTTGTTTTTCACTTTTTCCCTATTCTACCTGAACTGTTGCAGTGGTAAATGCTCATATTTAATATAAATCAAG